GATATTCTAATTCTTCTTTCAAACACTTTGCATTAAACCTAACATCCAAGGCTTAAGAGTCAAAAAGGCTGTTCACAAGACATATAACACTGTTGCCAGCCTAAAAGTCTTGTCTAGCTACATTTTCGAGATTTTTTTTTCACCTTCTCTGTTGTAATTGATGAACACGAGTACCAAATTCAATTACTGCAAAATGGTCAAAAAAACAAAGATCCCTTATTGCACTGGTGCGAACAAGTGGCAGCGGTGCGATTCGAGGCTAATCTGGACGTCCGGAGCGATTTTTTCGTTTACAAAGGCGAGTTTTGCCTGGATTTTTTAATAGCTTAGCCAGAGGGACGGTTGTCATATCTGTGTGAACTCAAAATTTCGTTCTTTTTGTTCCAACGTAGCTTTGACTTTGAAACGGCTACCGAAGTTCTTTTCTTTCAAGTAACGAGCGAGGTCAAAATGGTAATTCTGTGGAAGAAAAACATACTATCGTTTCGCTGTGCTCCAATTTACTTTTCCTACAGCGTGTAACCTGTATAGGTAAAGTATGAAGCACGCAGATGCTGACGGGTCGGAATATTTTCGACTTGCATACCATGTAGGCCAGATCTCGGGGCAGGTCTCCTGAGGGCACGCTGGAATTCGGTTTTTGTGGAAAAGCGTAAAGGATACATCGTGCGGGGTGCGGGACGGAGTCCCAAAAAAACTATGCGATGTCCTCGAATTCCTTGAGGGTCTTAGTTTACAGTACTACTACCCCCAAACTTCTCGCAGGCAAAGGCGGCAACCTTTGCAAATCCTGCTACGTCGTCGATGAAGAAATGGACAAAATTGCATGAGTCCCACCATATGCCAAGCCATGTTGAAAGAATGACATTCAGATCACCTACCATCTCAGTATTGCTTGCTTATCTTCTATGACGAATATTATTGTTGATGAAGCTCCTCTACCCTCCCTGGCGGGCATGTCAGGCATACGGCCTTAGGGTAGAGTGATACAATACACACTTAACTATCGCAAACCCGCTCCAAAGAAAGTTCATGAAAAGCGGGTGTTCTCGCGCGAAATTTGAACAACATTTTTGGAAATCGTTCACACCGTTTTTCTAAGCGAATAGACAATGAACAGGCAGCGAAGTGCTTAAAAACCTTTGGAAAATTAGAATGAAAGAATCGTCGTACCTTTTTGTTTTAGCTCTCCGTCGGAGATAAGGCAGATCTCAGGTCTTCGATTAGCATACAAATTGTGATGACTTTAGGCTTATGGTATAGCCTGGGTGCTCGGGCGTATGGTTAGGTCCTTCTGAAAAAACAAGGTGGTTCAGTTGAAAGATTTATGAGCACAGAATCACACTAATGTGTTGCTAGTCTCGTAACAAAACTGAGCTTTGGGGCTAATCGCCCCTCCTCCGATCCTGATCTCACCCATCAGTCTAATGCAGGGGCAAGCGGGAGTACAGATTCCATCCTTGCAGTCACAATCAGCTCCATCATCAGGGTACTGCAGACGTAACGATCGATTTGTTGCTTTCACTTCCCTATATTTTAAGACTGGCAAAGCGCATCTTGTCAGGTACTTCACGTTGATGAAAGCGCGTTCTTCTTTAGTCCAATTCTCTATGTAAATTGGAGCCAAATCAAGGTATTCAAGCTCGTCATTTATTGATTGTTCGGTAAGACGAAGCTGCACTCTGTAGCCGCTCTCCTTTAAAAAATGAAATCCACAAGTTACGCTCCATTCACTGCAATACTTTCCAGCCAGATAATATCTTTCTCTAGCGTAAGACAGCAAGACGTGTTTCTCTTCAATTCGCTAATCCCAACCTCGACATTTACCTCACTGAAATCATGGCAAATAACGAAGTGCTGGAGAAATGTGGTCAAAGACCTCTCTGTTCTTGTACCGCATCTAGGCTCATATTTGCGAAACAAGCGTTCACGCGTGTCTGCTGCAGCCATACGATGTCCAACACCATCAAAACTTTCTGGTGTTAAGCTTCACTGATTGTGCCAAGGCTAATCCTTCCACTCAACAAGATATTCCCTTTTCGCAGGATCCTGTATTTGTAAGGTGCTACTTAATTCAGCATGAGATGCAGTCAAACATGGTACCTTTTCGTCGATCTGTGGCCGGAGAATTGCTGCAACCTCCCAATGCCTTTCTTCAGGTATAATGCTAGCTGTCTGATCGTCCTCTGGATAGTAATTTTTTTGTCCATAACCTTCATACGTTTGAGAAGGTCCGCCAGGTTGGAGGAGCTGGCATGGATCTTTTTTTTGTGGAGAAAGACATGATTGTTCACGTAGAAACTTTTTTAACTGCTATTGAGTTTGATGACGGGCAAACAAGAGTTTGTGATTTGGGGCTTACTGAGTCCCAAGGTTAGGTAAACTAACACTAAAAATGCGGCTTTAGTTTAGCTGATGCACCAGCAATGTGATTACTTTAGGCCTATGGAATAGCCTGTGTTCGGGGATATGGTATGGCCCTTCTGGGCGAAACAAAGTGTTTCAGTCAAAAGATTTATGAGGCCAGAATCAGACCAGCGTGTTGCTAGTCTCGTAACAAAACTGAGGAGTGGGGCTAATCGCCCCGCCTCCGATCCTTACAGCGAAGTTGCCAATGGCAGGGGTTCTGGCATTAGCCAGAACACCTTTTTCAAAATTTCACATGATTCCTCATTGCATTTAGCAAACACTTCTGATAGACTCCTTAAGCTAAATAATGGTTTCATACATAGCTCAAAGCAGCTGCTTGCCTTTCAGTTAGGGCCTTAAATAAGTTCGGATCCCCTCAAAAAACACGCACCATGTGAACTTGCTGTCTCCAACGCGTGCAGCGTGAGCGCTGCCCACGCTTTTTCAAAGTGTTTTTTCTGCTTTTTGTTTTTCTTTCTCTTGTTTGTTATGTCATGATTACTTTTTAACCTATATTTTCGGGTAGTCTCCAGCCATAGCGTGGAAAAGCGAATCTCTTTTAATCCTCTTTCTTCCGTTTTGATGCCTCCAATGAAAATCGTTGAAGAAAAGACTTTATGTTTCCTGCTCATTTTATATGTGGGTTTTGTGTTGCACATTAGTTGCAAGTTCAGCAATTTATGTGCCTCGATTCTCTTGCGATAATGCTGCATGCACGTTTTTTTACACAAACCATTGCCCGTCGTCCCTGACGATAAAACCAGGATAGATTGTGATGAAATGTATCTTTATTTGGTTTTTAGAGTGACATTGAAGACTTGTCAATATTAGTTAGTGGCGCTGCTAATGTTTGATTTTTCTAAGCTAAATTTTCTTCAGGCATCCACTTGACATATACAGGAGAAGTTGACGCGCTAACAGTGTCAACTACGTAATCGCTTAACTTGGTCTCAAGGGACAAAACAGAAGACTTTATTTTGGAGAAGTTATATTCACCAATATTTTCAAAGTAAAATTTCGTTTTAGCAGCGAAGTCAAATTTCACTTATTTGAGAACTTAGAATTTTTTTTTTTACTTCAGACTTTTTACTTCTGATTTTTTCATGCTCAAGTGGCATATCGTAAAATTTATGACTTACAGGTCATTCATTTTTGAAGAGTCCAATCGGAGACCTCGTGCCGAGGCCTGATACAGGTGAAGCGTTTGCGTGAAATGGTTCGTATGCTTAATAGAGTAAAACGCCGAATATTATTAGGTTGAGGAATAAATTCGTAGCG